GCCACATAAGCCGGACCCGCCTCAGCACGAACGGCGGCCACCTCCGCTTCATGATTCTCCACCAGGGCGGTCTTCTCCAGCTTAAGATCGGCCAACTCCTTGTTCAAAGACTCTTGTTCCTCCAACAGAGTCTTCTCAATCTCTTTTGATTGTTGGAGCTTCGCTAAAAGTCCATCCCTCTCTTTGAGAACCGCCTGATGCGCTACCTTCTCCGCTGCCAACTCATTTTTCTGCTTCGCCAACTTTTCCTTAAAACCGCGCTCCAGCTCTGACCGCATCTCCGCCTTCAGCGTTGACCGCTCCTCATGAAGGCTCTTCTTCAACTTAGCAATCTCGACGGTGTTCTCGTCCACGGTCTTCGACAGGCGGTCATTCAGCATGATGATCTGCGAGAACCCGATCTGAGCCTGCAAAACGCAATATCGACGTCAGTAGCCAAAACACAACCTATCTAAGGCACCGGCTAAAGGATAATCAACCATACTCACTGAGAAGAAAAATTGGGAAGCAATCCCCGCCAACCGACGGTTGCATCCTTCCGAGGAGGAAGTATACTCCGAAGGCATGACCAGGCGGTCACTGACGGTATGCAGAGCTAGCTCAGCAGCCTCGGTATCAGTAGCCGCCAAAGGAGAGATTTCCACAGACTGCGTCTGGTCAGACTTCTGAGCGGTCTTCCCGCGCTGAACTCCAGGTTTAGCGGGAGAAGCTCCCATCCTTCCACGCTTGGCGGCCGCAGTAGAGACAGGCGGCTCTTGCGGTCTCTTCCCAGAGGCTCTCGTCACGGGAACGGAAACAGAAGTCCCCTCGACCGCCAAACTGGGAGCCACCGTCGGAGCAGTCGGAGGAGCGGGGCGGTCAACAGTCGTATCCAGAGAGGAAGCGGTCTCCGTCCTCGGCTTCACTACCTTCTTCTTTGCTTTCGGGCGATTGGCAGCAGCAAGATCTCGTAGCCCTGCAAAAAGAAAGCATAAGTAAAACGACATGAGAAGGAGGAACACATAAACAATCAGGAAGTTCATCACTAACCATAAAAACCACGAACGTGCTGGTACGCACTCTCCGGACCGCTGTGTCGCACCCGTAATTGAAAACCCTCGACGATGCGGCTCACATGATCCTTCACCGATTGGGGAAACTGGGTGGACGCACACCAAGCGTCCTTGCTACCAACCGCATACCCAGTCAGCGGCTCCGAGTCCCCGTCATACCACTTCCAAGATGGTCGGGCAAAAAAGAACTCCCTATACCACGGCGAATCCAATTTGGGCGTCCCTTTGATAAACCCAACGTAAGCTTCCCGTCTCCCAATCGACCAGCAGTTAGACGAATCATGAATATTGTAAATCATTCGAAAGGCATTAAAAGACGGCTCTTCCTTAAGGCGGTCGCACGCAAGCCGATACATTACCGAATGAAAAATAATGGTCGGAGAAAGACGCCCCAATGTGCAACCAAGCAAATGTAGCGTCTTGGTCAAGATAGGGTCCAAAGGAAACCGCAAACCAAGTTTTACTTGCTCCACATGTATGGGAATCCACCCAACTGGACAAGACCCGGAAAGGCTCTCTTCTGAGGGTGCAGCATACTGCCAATCAGAAGGGAGATTGAGCGACCTCAGACGAAAAAGCACCTGCTCGGGCTTGAAAACCGTCTTGTGCTTCTGACCAATGGCAAACACGGAGGCGGGAACCGGTTGACCGCCCCACATACCATCATGACGAAGCACAGTATACACAGAGTCTTTCGCGGCAATAGGAAGCGGTTCCAATCCTGCGGGCTCCACTATTTCTAACGAGGAAGACGTACTAAGATGCGCCTCCGAGCGCACATCCTCACTGTCGACCGCCTCGTCCTCGTCCAATGACAAACTATCTAAATCTACCCGCCCAAAATCACCCATGTTATCCCCAACCGCGGATGAAGTGGCAATACCCCCAGCTGGTACAGGGCGGATGTTAGCAATAGAATTATCTAAATCTAAATCAACTCCGACAAGACAATCGCGCAATTCAAAACCACTCCCAATGTATAATTCTAGCTCGGATAAATCCCACACGCACTCAGAGGCGGTTCGAGTGGGGGAAGAGCGGGTCATACCTTGGGAAAAAGAGGCGGCTCCACCAGAGGGTCCCGCCTTCTTTCTCAAAGGAGCAGAAGGCGACAAGGGAACCCTCGTAGCGGCCTGATTCTTCTCGGGGACCGCCTCGGAGGTCGCATGCAAAAGGGGGGCCTCGACGGTGGCGGCGGCGGCGTCGCTTCCAGCCGCGGCGGAGGGAGTTCGATCGTCACTCGACATCTTCAATCGTCGTCGGAATAGACACCAAACCCGCCGACCGAAGTTCGACCCAGCAAACGCCGACCAAAGGACGCGATCGCGCGACAATCGAGAAAGAATAGCGAAGTCAGAAGAAAGACGAAGGAGAAATCGAAATGCGAAACACAAAGGAACCAAGGAACCTACCTGGGGAAGCTTGGGTTTATAAAGCCCGACCAAGGGGAGAGCTCGAACTCTGTCGGAGAAGAAGAGAGGAAGAAGACGAGCAGTTTTCCAAAAGGGGAAGCAAAAATGGCGGAAAAAAGCTCCCCCAAGCCATTTAAAGAAGAAGGGTTCCAAAACCGAGGATGACGTTTCGCCTCCTCGCGTCAGAGCGCAACCTTCGAGGTGCAGCGCGTGGCACTCACCCAGGCACTCGAAGAGACGCGCACGCCATAAAACCGCCCCTCAGGCGATCCGACTCCACGCACGCACGACCAGGGGCAAGTGGGCGGTCACGGGCAGGGCGACCCAAACCGCTTAATGATACTAAGGCAATCAGTTAGCCGCGCGAACCTAAAGCCTCTCACGCCTAAGGGGCAAATGTTAGGACAATCATTAAGGCACTTGGGCCTCTGAGCCCATGACCACTAAAAAGGCCCAGTAAAGCAAACAAGCCCAAATCAGAGAAATAGGAGGCGGTCTCTGGGTCGCACCTAATAAGACCGCCTAACGTACAACGGAAACAAAGCAGGACGCCCGACAGAGGATATAGTCAACACTCTGACAACAAGGTACGGATACTGAGTGGAGTACGGATCTGACACGGCATTTATGAGAAGTCAGAGGCGGTCGAGGACCGCCCGACACAGTGTCAGACCGCCCGACATAACGAAGCTTGTCCTCACTCCTGGACCTAACTAGTATAAATACCCAACAACGGATCACATTTAGGGTAACTCCTATCTACCCCATTCTCTCTCTATTTCACTCTACCTACTTCTCTCACTAACTTAGGCATCGGAGGAGGTCCCAGGGCTCCCCTGAGGACCTTTGTTGCAGGACTTCGAAGGTCGCCTCTCATCCTCCCAAGACCGCACGGAGTCATTGAGCTTCACAAACCGCCCGGTACTTTCCAGGCTTAATGAACAATCAAAACAAGAACGGAAGAAACCTGGCCATTTCTCCACCATGAAAAGATTCTGTTCAAAGAATCTTGTCAAAGAATAACAATATCAAACAGATTTCCCTTTCATGCCCCCCCTCTACGTACGTGCAACATTTGTTATTGTTAGTATTCTCACCCTGAAAACAGATTCTTCTTCCCCTTACTACCTACCTACCTAACTTTTTGCCTTTTCTCCACAAACACATTTTATATAAGCTTGTGGTCGGTCGGTTACACAAATACCAGTCACCATACATAGTTTAAAGTAGTGTTCCGATCGATCGACATGTCCAATCTGTAAAGATATTCCCCACTAATCTGGAGGAGATCGAGTATTAAAAGAACTGTTAATGAATTGCATGCAGATGCAGCATATGTAACATCAAAAGCTTCATTGGTCATCATCCATAATCACATTATAAATAAGTTTTGTAGGAAAACTAACATCAATTGGGTCCATAGCTCAGTGGTAGAGCAATTGACTGCAGATCAATAGGTCACCGGTTCGAACCCGGTTGGGCCCTTCCCTTCTTTTTTTTCCTACAGCTTTTCCCCCCTTTCCTTTTACCAGTCTTATGATCTTCTTTTCAACCCTGATTTTGCAGATGTCTTTTTGTTAGTTCATGTAGTTTGAAGGCGATATTTGCACAGTTGAACTGATTCAATTAGGGTACAAAGTTGGACATGGTATAATGATCAATCTACTTATCTATCATCCACCAAACCCAGAACAATTCGCATGGAAGAAGTTTTACCTACTCTGCAACCTAATGGACTTGTCATTTAGTCATCAAACTTCCTCATAACAGCAAATCATTCCAATAGCCAATATGCTTTTCTGAAACAGTAGCATTCATGAGATGAAGAACACTTAATAAAAACCTCCAAAGTCCCGAGGTGATTCACTGGGGGGATGGTGCTGTTTGATCAAGGGGGGTCGCTCCTTCGGGCTAAGGGTGTGCAGTTTGCGCTTATTGATGAACCTCTGGTAGTGGAGTTGCTTGTGCTTCGTGAGGCTATCCTCTGGTGTCTGGAGTATGGCTTGTCTGGTGTTCGGTTTGAGGGGGATGCGAAGGTCATTGTTGACAAGATTAATCAGGCTGATACTTGCGACAGTCATCTGGGGGCTATACTAGAGGAGATTTGCCAGTATATTCGGGCTCATCCAGGGTTTAGTGTACGGTTTGTAGGTCGGGAGAACAATAGGGTAGCTCATTCGGTAGCTAGAAAGGCCCTCTCTTTGTGCCCGTCTGTAAATCGTTCTTTTGATTTCAGGACCTGGCTGTTATCCAGGATGTAACTCTATCTTTGTTTCGATCAATATATCTTATCTTTTGACAAAAAAAAAAAAGATTCATTTGGTTAATAGTCTGGCCACGTTACAAGGAAGAAAGGAAGGTATCGGGTGGCCTTGTTGGGCTTGGGAGAGACAAATGAAGCTGGTAACTCAGCCCATTACACGTCCCAATGGACTCTAAATATGTAGGCCATTACCAGTCCAGAATGAAGCCCAACCAAACCAGGATTGGGCAGAACACCACATTTCTTAATCCAAAAACCCTTCTTTAATCATATCTCTGATCATCTGTCTATAAATTTCTCCACCAAAATGCTAAACACTCCCAATTGTTTATTAGCTTTCGCCTTAATTACTACATATATGTCTGCAGACAAAGACCAATGATGATACAATATCAGTTCTATGTCTGCAGCTATGTACACATTACCAAACCAATAATAACACAGCCCCAAAAAAACCCCAATCAATTAATCGACAGTTCAATCAGTCTACTCCATGTGAGGGCAAGTTATGGAGACAAACGTTCACCCTAGGCGTCTCACATTTCACAGTCACAACCACATCATCCTCACGTTTGTACTCCTTGAAACAAGCCACCCTCCCCAGCTCCTCCACTTCCTCCATCACGCTGTCCAGCCGCGCCACCGTCTCCACCAGCAGCGACGCGAACGCCGCGAAAGGCAGCGCCTCGCAGAACTCCAGGCTGCACGTCAGCATCGCGATCTTGCTCAGCTGCGGCCTCAGCACCTTCCTCTCGCCGGATTCCTTCTTGCTCCTCGTCCTCTTCCACTCCCTCAGCGCCGACGTGTCCGTCTTCGCACTCGAAAGTGCCACTCCTCCTCCTCCTGCCTCATCGCGCTCTTTCTGCTGGCGCGCCTGTGCAGCAGCCACGGCCAGCATGTTGCTGGCCTGGCTGCCGTTGGAGCCCAGGAAGAGTCTGGGCTGGGACTTGAACGCCTTGTTCAAGTCCTGCAGGGCGTCGTGGAGGTGGTCCGAGAGCAGTTCGGGCGAGCAGTGCCGCCTGCTCTCGATGCTGGTGGCGAGCTCTATCAGCACTCTCGACACCTCGTTTGCCAGCCTGACGCACGGGTCCTTGAACAGGGCTCTGCAAGATTTTGGCGCCTGGAGCAGGGAAAAAGAATTACTTACATTAATTAACTATTGATAACTTTTCATAACCAGTTTATCCCAATAATTCGAGTTGTTGGGAGAGATTCAATCGTGTATCATATATACCACACACTAACACGCACGCCCCCTCAAACGAAAGTCACTCACAAGGGCTTGAAGTTTGCACAAGTCTGAAGACAAGAATATCATGTGCCCTCAAACGAAAGCCACTCACAAGGGTTTGAAGTTTGCACAAGTCTGAAGACAAGAATACCATGTGCTTAACAAATGGGGGTCACCGGTAATCGAACACAAGACCTCTCGGTTACAGAAGACTCTGATACCATGTCAAGAACCCGTTGGTCCCAATAACTCGAGTTGTTGGATCTACCGGTTCTCGACAATAACATGTATCATTAATTAGTTGTTAATACGTTACACACATTTGCAGCTAATTAATTTACCTGGATTTCAGTCTGTAAGCATCCGTGGAGCGCTACAACCGTGTAGCTGAAGCGACGAAGAGCCGCTCCGACTTTGACATACTGCTGCCACGGGTACCGACAATGCCTGGAATGCCTCGGCTCCCAGCTAGCGTACAACGCCAGAGTCTCATCAGTCGATTTAGAGTCCAAAACCGCCTTGTAACCTTTGTAGATCGGGTCTTCGTCACATGATTTCTCCTCATCGTCGCTCTCTTCTCTAGCCTCTGTCACAGCTTCATCACTGAAGTACTCATTCACGCAAACTGCAGAACAAACAGCCACACAAACTTAGGTGAAACAAATTCGTCCTAATTCGTTAATTATTAGGCGAGAAATGATTCGTCACGTTACGTTATGTTATGTTACCTTCGATGGAATTGGCGAGGCCTTGAAGCTTGTTGACGGTGGAGTTGTGGAGATCCTGCCCCGACCAAATTGGGAACACCAACAAGCTCATGAACAGGCAGATCCCGCATCCGATCGCGATCGTGACGAACCGCTCGTGGGCGATCCTCATGACGTTGCTGACTCGGAAGCTGGAGACGGTGATGAGATTGAAGGTGAGGAGGAAGATGACGACCCCGTAGTCGTAGTTCTTCTTCACGTACGGCAAGAACCTCAGGTAAGTCGCCGCCGCCCCTGTTTTTTTTTCGGGATGTTCAATAACGACAAAATCAACCAATTGCGCTATTCATAATAAGAGTCGGTTGGAAAGTTCGTTTTATCGACCGGTCGATTATTTGCCTACTCAAAACTTTCAGTACTTTGTGGTTATCTACTTTCAAACTTAATAACAAAGAAACAGAGGATTGAGATGGAAAAGCTGCAGAATACCAATAATGAAGACCGCGCAGCCGATGAAGATGGCGCGGCCGACTTGCCCTGTTGCCTCGGCGATGAACTCGATTAGAAACGCTAACGAACCGGCCAAAATCGTGCCTAATCCCCTGTTCAGTCCCTTGCACAGAGTCGCCCCTGTTTTTCAAAAATTCGTGGTGAGGGAAAAAAAACCCGCCGGAGTAATTACTTCTGATGAGTGTTAACGGAAAGGGGGTTTGGGTGGGGATTTGAGTTTTACCGGCGGTGAACTCGAGGACGACGACGACGGTCATGACGGCCCAAATGGCGTTCTGGCCGATCCCTTCGAACAGGGGCTCGAGGAGGTAGAGCATGGAGACCAGAGTGAGGGCTAATCCGACTTTGACGGCGTGAATCGCTCGCCGGGGATCGTCCTTGCCGACTCTCCACATTTTCCGGCACGCCAGGGCGGGAGAGCGCTTGGCCTTCTCCCACGCGACGCCGGCCTTCTTCCTCCACGTCTCCATCATTTTTTATTTTTTTACTCTGTTTCCGGCGGAGAGATTAGAATAATGAAAAAACAGAGAGATAGGTGGCGAGAGACGGAGCTGAGTGTGATCAGATCACTAAATTGCGGGCTCTGGAGGTTTCTGTTGAGCGGCTAGATTATATATAGGGAAGGAAGGATGGGAGCTGTTGTTGGGAAGGAAAGCTGCAGTCACATGCAATTCGCCGCTTTCCCTTCTGCCTTTTTAATATGTAGTTTTTTCCTATATTTGTTGATTGTTGAGTGAGTTGTTGTTTATAGTTAGTGTAAGTGAATATTAAAGAAGTCGGGGGGAAAAATGGTCAGGTAGGTGACGGAGTCTATGCTGCGGCGGCCGGAGGATTGCTTGGAGGCTGCTTCCGATGAGGGGAATTCACTTCTGTCGCCGTCTGTCAGTTTGGCCAGTGTAAGAGAAAAAAAAGAAACTACAATCGTATACCGAGGCTTAGATCTGGCATCTCGTTAAGATTGAGGTGAGTAGTTACCAATCCATCTTACACAATCACGTCGAATCAGTTCATCGAGAAATGTAAATTCTATTGTGTTGTAATTTTACGAATTCTCTGAAAATTTTCAATTTCATCGGGTTCGAATCGAAGCAAGTAGTATTTTTATTGTGCTTCTTGTATCATTATTTTATTTTCTTTTTTCGTTTTGTATTTTATCGAGTCCGTTCTAGATTCAGTGTACTTTTGAACCAAATGTCATCGTGTCCGCTTCGAGAAACCCTGACGTAGGCTTTCTAATTATAGTCGGTCGGGGTGGCGTGCAATTCTACAGTTATATACAATGTGGACTTGTACCATATTCACAAGTAGTATTGTCCACAAGTAATGGAAGGATCACTATAGTTGGAAGTTGATGAATTTCTTATAATTAGGGTTGTAACTTTTAAGCACATGATAAGTTGGTTGTTAGGGTTACAGACCAACTTTCTTCAATTAGTTGTTTATGAGATGTTTAGTGATTAGTGGGAATGTATCATAGATTCATAATCTCCATAATGGGGGATGTTCAATAATCAACCTCACTTATATGGCCCTATTTGGAGCTTAATTACTTGGTAGAACTCAATTATTATACTAAAAAATTGTTGATGGTACTTTAGAACTGTATAATTGAACTTGAATGAGATGGAGGGTAAGTGCATGCATAGACAAATACAATAATGACATCCCAAATGGAACAGAGAATTGGGATATTAATTAATCCCACTTCTGTAATTATCAAGCTTGCTTGCTAATATGGACAATTAGCTATTATGATAACAACCCCTACGGATCCTTGTTTGTTAAATAGATTACCCCAAAAAGAACCCTACAAGTTTAGGGACAATGCGATCGATCGGTTAATTCATTTATTTAGGAGGAAAAAACAGAGAAGAAATATGAAAAAGGAAAGCCGTATGATTTGATGATAAATGTAGCTGGACATAATTGGGGAGCAATGATTTATATGATTCAAGACCAACTCATTTCGTGCTCATCTATTGCTGTTCCATAATTTTAGGTGGGTTTATTGGTGGATAGCTTCTATATTATTTCTCAGTTATTTATTTCTATTAATTCGAGTAGTCGGATTAGTAGAAAAATAACTAACTGATAATTTTTTTGAAATAATCGCAAGTTATTTTGGTTTTTTACAAACTTACAAAATTAATTGATGGGTAGTTTTCAAAATCATGTTTGATGGGCGGGCCGAGGGTCAAACAGTGACGGCTCTTCCGAAAATTCGAATTATCGTCGGGATGAATAATTGTCAACTTAAAAAAACAAACGATAATCAAAATGATAAATATTTTATGAGTAAATTGATTTTTCCGTAGTGGAGCTAGCTAGTAATGATTGTTAATTGTTATTTTCTAAAGATCTTGTAACTTCGAAGGGTAAAGAAAATACCTACAACCATTGTGAACAAATGTTTGGTCTTATAGTTTTATCGTTGGTCTTCAACTTGAAGGTCTCAGATCCGAATCGTTTAAATAGAACCTAAGGGCAAAAATTAAATATATATCACCATGAAAATTACATAACACTACTAGTAGAAGTTATACCAACTATGTGAGAAGGAAATTAGGTTACCAAAGGGTAGAGAAAAATATCATAGAGGGTGCACCGTCACTTTGACATATATAAGATCATGAGAAGAGGGAGAGGTCATATTTGATATTTGTCAACCTTTTGTTGCCACCTTTTATTTATGTAAGGTTGCAAAGCTTGTAGAATTTAAAGAGCCAAGCATGCAACCCATCTTCCCCTCACCTATCAATTTCACTATGCTCACGAGAATGGAGACAAAAGAAACGCAAAGCAAAAAATTTCCCCAATAGGATAGGAATGACCAATTCGAAATTTGTGTTTGCTAGCTAGGGTGTTGCTTATTCTGATAAAATACGTATTCTTTATAGATGGATGCAATACATACAAGATATAAAATACATGTATTTGATATGACAATGATGAAGTTATATCAAATCACGATTACTAGCACATATATCCCACATCATCAACTAGCGGCGACCAATATGATGTGTATCATTCTACTTGCTTCGTTCACCACGTTGCATTAGACTTCAACACAACTCCATACATGTTAATCCTTCAGTAAAACCATTCAGGCTCTCGCTATAGAAAATACTTAATAGAAATCTTGAGTGTCGAAAGCTCAAATCTCTAAACACGTTTGTTTCTAATGGGTAATACTCGATCGATCTCGGCATCTCGCATGCACACATTAGCTTTCACACTTTTCTTGTTATTGTGACCTATGAGTTGATGATTATGACCCAAATAATTAGATATATCACGGGTGATCAAGTGCATACCAATTGCTGCTGCTGCTGCTGTTCTCATCAATAGCTGTTGTGAATTGTGATGGTTCTTCTTCTCCTCTTCTTCTTTAGTTCTTTTTATGGCAAAAGTATTTGACTACTAGGGAGGGAATTTAGTGTGCTCGTGTGCATGCTCTAGTCCCCCCCAATGTGAAGCCACAATGATGCCATTTGGCACCCATACAAACCGTCCAAAACAACCCAAACACAACCACCACAACCCCCCATGATTTTTGTTGCACATCTTCAAACTTACCATCTACCTACTCTTTCATTTATGTCCATCTCAAGTTCAAAGGTTACATGTGCAAGAGTTGCAAATGAGGCAAGTTGTTTATGAGCGTTTGAGTTCAGGAAAAGGTTGTTCGACGCTCGTCTTGTTTACTGACGAGCGGAGTGTGAGCTATGTCTTGCTCAGCTTGCAATGTTATAATGAGTTAGCTTGATTCGGTGTCTTGTTAAACTCAACTCCCGAGCTGACTCTCTTTGAGCTCATGAGCTGCCTCATAGAATCACAGTGTGGTTGGCTAGCCAGCTCGACTAGCCGGCTTATGATCGAATCGATATATAACTTATTGAGTAGCCTTGTTGATAATTCATAGGTTTTATATTTATATATCTCATGTTTAATACCTTGCGCAAAGGTGAGCACATATGTAGTATGTATCATTTATAATATAAAAGAGATTGTTAAGATGCTATTAAATAGCATGATATTAACAGTTACAATTTACATACTAAAAAACATAATATGTGAGGTCGAGTCGAGCTCGCAAGCTTACTGATGAGTCGCTAGTTCGAGTAGACCTGGTGAGTTCATTAATGAGTCGAGCTCATGTTGAACTTGAATCAAATACAAACCAAATTTCAATAAACAAGTCGAGTTCAAACTCCACTCATTTATTAACGAGCTAGCCACATAGACAATTTAGAACATCCAGAGACAACATGCTTTATTCTAATGCTTGATTAAGTACTTGGCTAACTTAACAAGATGGTGACGGAGCTAGTACCGATTAGGAATGACAATGGGATGAGGTTGAGGTGGATACTTAATATCAATATTCACTCATAATATTGGATATTTTGCCTCGGAACACATGTCGGAACAAGTCGGTTCTTTGGGTAAATTGCAAGTTTGGTCACTAGAATTACTAAAAAAATTCACGTTTGCCACTAAATTAATTTATTCCATTTATGGTCACCAAAATTAGTTTAACAGTTCAAGTTTGGTCACTCTCTGTTAGTTTCCGTTAACTTTATCTGACGTGGCGGTCAACTTTCAAAGTTGACCGTTAAATAAGTGACATGACAATTGTAGAATTCAGTTAGACACATTGAATAAAATAAACCTGACCAATTATTCTATAAAGTTTAGTTAGACAAATAAGTCGAGAACAAGACGGATAAAGAATAAAGCAGCGCAGAAGGACTCATGCCTGCCATGTTCAATAGCCGCCCAAAACAAGTATAGTACATGTAAATTAGTTAGTGTTGGGAGTGTTACTAAATACTCGCCGCACAGACTAAATAGTTTTCGCACCCAATCGACGACGCACAACGCTCGATACTCGCTACAGGTATATAAGGGCTCGAAGCCTTCCAAGGAAATGGGCTTCTTCTTCTCTCCCTTCACTTTTCACTTTTGGCTATCTCTCTACACTTTATCTCTCTACATTATTCTCTCAACTTGGCTAAACATAAACTAACTTGATAGTTGGAGTTTAATCCATAGGCATCCCCGACTTTCCACAGGTTCTTTCCCTCCCAACGAGATTAGACGAACAGACGTTGAGTCAACCCACACAATAAATCATTATTGTTCCTAGATGGTACGAACAGTTAGCTAGAAATTGAAATCTCTGGTGCCTATCAGACAAACCATCAGCAACATCTCAGGAAAGGGTTTTCTTTTCTCCCTTTCTTTCATGCTACAAGGAAGAGCCTGAATCGAGCATGTTTGTTATTTACATACTTCCCCTCATATATTGTGCTGTAAAAACACCAGCAGCATCTAATAAAACACAAATGTCTGTAAAAAAAAACACATCAATAAGTAATCAGATGTCCTGGGACAACATCAAACCCATTTTTCCAGCTATGGGAAGCTTAAATAACCTCGTCCAGTTCTTCCTTATTATCCCCATTCTTTATTATTATTATGGTGACTATTTATCTATATAACTGATCAACTATGAACTTGCTCCAAACACACGAATCCTTTGCTCAATCGTCACGCGGCAGCAAGGACAAGTAGCCCTCCCACCCTTCTTCCCGTAGCTATCGCTGCATCCAGCACACATAACCTGGTGAGCACACGGTAAGAACACCACAGAGACCTCGTCTTTCATGCAGATCATGCATTCTCGATCAGAGCTGCCGCCCTTTTGAGAAGAATCCTCGAGCTTCTCCAGCTCGTGAAGCAGCTTGGCAATGGTTTTTTGTTCTCCCTG